AAATAATTAGCATAAAGATGTATTTAATTCTCATAATAATCATTAATAAACTCATTTTAATATATTTAACGAATAAGTATAGAAAAAAAGTTCCGTTTTCTAAAATGATAAACAAAAAAATTTATACTATGAGTAAAATCAAAAAGGCTAAATGATGCAAGTAATTATATATATAAAATTTAAATTTAATATAAAATTATAATAAGAATTTGTTTAATGATTTCGTATGTGATTAGAATTTTAAAAAATAAGAAAAAGAACTTACTGTCTTAAATGAATAAAGCCTTGGTAACTAAGAAGAAAGTATTTAAATATCATAAAATGAGTCTATCAATTATAATAGTATTGACTTGCCTATATTTTAATTAGATTCGTAAAGAATTGCTAAAATTAACAATACAAAAACAATCTAAATATATAAAATTAATTTCCTTAATGGATGTAATTTATTAAATCTTTAATAATAAATAAAGAACGAATATATTATTAAAAATATATTTTTGATAAACTCTAGCACTCTTGTAATTTGTGACAATCGATAAAAGGCTGTTTAAATGTTGTCAAAAAAAACAAGAGTTACATTCTATAATTTGAGTTAAAGAAAAATTGTTAAATAAATTTCTATTAGAGGCTAATCTATATTTATTGATAAAATTTTAATAGGAAATAAGACCTATTTATTCTACTAAAAAAAAGAAACAACCAAATTTGTTAATTTTATAATATATGATCCTATTAAGGATAAAACCATTTAAAATTATGAGTTAAATTTTGATATTTAAACTTAAAATAGTCAACTTATATTTAATAATATGAAAACTTTTATATAGTTTTATGTCAGTATTTATAAAAACTTTAAGTTTGAAAATAATAGTATGATTTAGTAATATTTAAACGATATTGTTTTCTAATATTGTAACACTTAAGTTGCCAATAGATAGTTTTTCTTGCCTTTCTTAAGTTCAAATAAAAAAGAGGTTGGATTTACTTATATGAAAAATAAATAAGTGCAATCTAATTTTTATCATCTTTAAAAAAACGACAGTAATGTATTTAAAACTCTCTTTATTGATTAATAATTAATTGTTATTTTAGAAAATGGATAAATTATTCATTATAAATGAATTATGTATATTTTTATTTTATTTAATATAAATATCCATGTATATATATAAATTAAATATATATATTATTATTATTTATTTGTATATTAATTAATATTTTATATATTTTGTATATAATTTATTATTATAAATTTAATATCTTTAAAATTAATATATATAATTTATTTATTTTAATTTAAAAAAAAAAAATTAAATTATTAATATTTTTTTTATTTATATATATTGTCCAAAAAATTATATTTCATATTAAATAAAATTTCATATTTATTTAAACTTTTCTTTAAAAAAATAATAATAATATTTTAACTTAAATACAATTTTAAATTGCTAAATTTTCTAAAATCTATATGTAAATTTTTATATATTACTATTGAATATAATACTAATAATAATATATTTAAAAGTATTATAGTTTATATGAATTAAAAAAATTGCAAACATTATTAAATTTATTTATAAAAAATATTATATATATAATATTCATATTATTTAGTTTCTTATATTTAATATATATAATTATTGAATAAATATAATACACAATATTTTCTTCAATATTTTCTTTCGATATATATCAGTAATAAAAAATTAAATAATATTTTATATAGATTTTACTTTATAATTTTATTTAAAAAAAAAAAAAAAAAAAACTTATTTTAAAATAATATATTGAAAATAAATAATATTAATAATTAATTAAAAACTCAAAAAATATTACATTTTTAATTGCATTATTTTTTAGTTTTTCTCATAGTATCCTCAAAACCATCTATACTCCATTTAAAAACACTAAAAATATCACAACTATAAACCTAATAATTAACAAAAAGAACCTATTTAACATTCCTTACTAAATTTCCCTAATTATTTGCAATTTCATTAAAATTATTACACTCTAAAATTTAAAAGAATCCCTTATCATCTCCCAATATGACTGCATTGAATTTTTCCAAAAAATCAAAGCATCTAATATTTCCATTACTACTACCTTTAAATTCTTTCAAAACTAAAAAATCTTTCTATATAAAATCAAAATTCCAAATTATAAACTACCCATCATTTCCCACAGTACAAAAACAATTTTATTTTATTTTTTTTATTCCAATAATCCATCCTGAATGGCAACTACTTTTTTTCTAAACACAATTTTTTTTTTAAACGTCAGTAACAATTATATATTTATCGATTCCTACTGAAACAATATATTATTATGAACTTGATATTTATAAACTTATTATTCCCTTAACTTCTCCATAGTGTATATTCTAAAACTAAAACTCTTATTAAAAATTTTCTATATTCCATAATATTATATCACCTACCAATGATCCTGTTAAAACTTTCTTGTTTTTTATAAATTCATATATGCATGAAACTCCCCTTATATGTCCTTAACCTTAATTACATTATTAAGGCAAAAATTAGCAATTTATTGGATCAAAAAGTAGAATTTTTCCATCGGTAGTGCCATAAACTACCTTTTTTTATGATTCTAAAACTAGTCCGCAATTCAAAGTGCTTTAAGATTATATTTCTTGTATTATTTAATCGGTTTCGAGGGTTACTTTAAGTATTTTTGAGTCTAATTATGTTATCAAAAGGAAGTTTTTTTCTTTAGAAACTTAAAAATGTAAGGCTTCTTTAAGTAAATTAGATTTATATATTTCTTTTTAGACTTTAAGATTTTTAGTTTATTTTTATTAACTAAATTAAGTATTATTTATACATTATTCTTAAATTATATTTTTATTAATTTATAATTTTTATATTTAATTTTTATTTAATTATTAAAAATGATTATTAATGTCTTCTCCATTACTTTTTTTTTTTTTTTCTTCTTAAAAGGTTTCAATAAAGAAATTTTGGATAATATTTTATACTTATTTTTAATATTATCCCAACAAACAATTAAAGCTATTTTATAAAAAATCCAAATTTTAAAAAATCTCACTTCCCTAACTTTAAATATCTTTCAATTTCTTTTCATAATTTTATCCTTTCTAAAAATTGTCCGCAAAGTTTTTAGCTAAAATCTACAAATAAATAAACTATCCTTATTATTAATTTCTAAACTTCCCTATATTATCATTCAAAATATCATCATCTCCTTTCATATTTCTGACTATGTTTTCTATTTCTTTCCTATTTTATATCACTTTATTATTAATTTCAATACTAACCTTATCGAAAACTGTCTCAATACACTTCTTAAATTCATTAGCCATTCTAGGCATAGTATCTTTTAATATTTATTGCCATTTTCCTAATTTCTAAATCATTTACCCTTCCGCAATTTGCTTATTTTTAATATAAAAATTCCTAGCTTCATTCGCTTCTACATATTTTTTAACTGCCTCACTATATCCAATGACAAATTACTAATGTTCTTAAATATGATTTTGTTTACATCCACTACACAGGCTTTCAAAACAACCATTTTTATCGCAAAAAAATTCAATCATTTTCCCATGTTTAAAACATTCATTTATAAATATTTTTTATTCCTGAACAAAAATTTATTATTATTACTAAAAATTAACTGCAAAATCCTATTCAGCTAAATTTAATAACTTCGAAATGCCTTCATAATCAATTCTTTTACTTTCATCATGCAGAAGCATTAATTAAAGAATTCTTCTTAGTTTATTTGATTAAATCTACTTCAAAAAATTCAAAATCTTCACCTCTCCCCCTTCCTAGTTCATTCCTGAAATTTATTAATTAGAAAGGAAAAGTACTGCTTATAAAAAAGATAGTCCTAGACTAAAAATATCGGATTTTTACATATCATGGATCACTTTAAATTCACTTCTTTTTATATATTTTTCCCATAATCTAGGACTTAAAAAAAGCGGAGTACCAGCAATTGTATTTAAATAATAAGATTTTTTCCTTTCTTTATTAAGTATTTTTGATACTCCAAAATCAGTTAACTTAATTTTATTGTTTTATATAAGCATATTTTCAGGTTTTATATCTCTATGAAAAATTTATTTTTTCCATAAAAAATATAAACCTTCCACCGCTTATTATATAAAATTTAATATTTCTTAGTCTGTATATCTTTTATTTTCTTTTAAATGTTATTAAATGTCTTTTTCAAACCCTTTTTCCGCTAATTCTTATACTAATGCAACTACAAATTTCTAAGTGAGTGCATTTGTCCAACTATATATTTATTTTATCTATATTATATTTGGATGTTAGCCTATTTATTGGTATATTACTATCTCATTTTCTGCCTGTTATTTATATTCGGGATGATTTGGTACTTCTATAATTTTTATTGCCCATTCTTTCCGATCATAACGTGAAATACAACGATATACACTACCAAAAGAACCTTATCCGATTAATTTTGCATTTTAAAAATCATACTCTAGATCGAATTCCATTTTAATTCCCAATTTAAAATTCTACATATTTTTTTTAATTATTTAGTTATTTTATTTTATGTAAATATTAAAATCGATAATGCAAATTAATTTATAAATCTCTTAAAAAAATATAAAAATGACATTTACATTATAAATTTTAGAAAATTTATATATTTAATTTTATTTTTAAAAAAAAAGTAATCTGTCTATTTTTAATATTTATTATAGATATGTTTTATTGTTTTTTTTTTTTTTTAAAATAAAAATAAAAAAGTATGTTAATTTTATCAATATTTCAGTTTATTTATCTCTTATATATATTAATTAATTTAATTTTTTTAATTTTACTATATTGAATATATAAAAGGGGAAAAAAAAATATTTAATAAACACAAGAAAATAATAACTATATAAAATATGTATTTTTAATATATTTTATTAATTATTTATTTATTTTTAAAAATAAAACTATAAATAAATATATATACATTTAATATTAATATCAATAATCGTTTTTTTATTGTTATTTTTATTATTTAATTAAGCTTTCTAGCAAATCTTTTTCTCGCGTTTAAAGAAATTCTACTCTTTATTAAAGTATTTAATTTTACTAAAAAAAAACAAAAACAAAAACAAAAATGATATTAAATAATAAAATAAATATAAAATTATACTTATTTTAATTGCATAATTTCATATAAATCTTCAGCTGAAGAAGATCCTGTAGCTCCATTAAGATTTTTTTTAATAATATTCTAAAACTCAATATTCTTATTTTCTAATTCTATAATTCTTTTTTTAAGTTCACTATTTTCTAACATTAAAGCAGAAGCCATATAATCTTAGCTCATTTTTTCTTTCGCAATATCTCCTTTATTTATAGGATTTCCAATAAACACCTTTTCTATATTTACATTTAAATAAAAAAATTATTTAAATAAATAAATAAATAAGAAAAAAAAAAACCCAAATTTTCTAATTTGATTTATAAAGCATTATTATTATTCATCGCTATATAATAACTTTTTTCTGCATGTTCTCTTGCATTTCTTAATTCCTCATTTTCATTTTTTATTCTATTTAATTCATATTAATATTCTTATATTATCTTTTTTTTTTTTTAAACAAAAATAAATAAATAAATACTTTGTTTATAGGTATTTCCATTCCCTAATTAGACATAGGCCTTGAAGTTACATTCTTATTATTTTAGGATAAAGGAGGCAATATATTTTTATTTTTAAAACTAGGAATTTCAATAGGTAATCCATTACTAACTCTTTTTATAAAAATAAAAAAAAAATATATATATATATATATATATATATATATATATATATTTATATATATATATATATAATATTAACAAAAAAATCATATATTTTTAAAAATACCTTGATAATTATTCTCTCAAATATTAATTTTCCATTTTTAATAATTCGATTTCTTTTTACAAATTATATATAATTTAATCCTTTTAATCCATCTAAAAAAAAAAATAACTTAAAAAAAAAGCCTTAAAAAATTTTAAAAATACCGAAATAACAGGCTTATTTTTAATATTCATAGTCCTAGCCGCATAATTCATAGTAGACAAAGTCTCTTCGAAATAAGCCCCAGAAGGTGAAATACACGCAATCATTAAAGCCTTAGCAGTTCCTCCTAAACTATCCATAAGAAGCATAGTCAATTTAGAATCTCTATAAGGCACATAAGGTTACTTAGCTTTTTTATCCGATAAAGCCTAAATAACTTTCCCTAAAGTAAATAAAGACTTATTAATATTCCCTGTTTCTTTAATCATATCACCTTAAGACTTCGACTCCTTTAACCTTTCACTCCCTGCAAGATCTACAAAGGACAGTTTTCCGTATCTTTTCATTGTTTAATCTCCATTTACAAGTTCAGAAATCAAATAAATAGTCAAAATCGAATGAGAACGACTTGAATCTTTATTAAGTTCATGTGCACCAGTCTTTCTTGAAAAAGAAATATTTAATTTTTTTTATAAATAAAAATACCGGTTTTTCATTCCTTCATGTAATACAGCTATCATATCATCTACATTAGTACACTCTACAATCATCAAATCTTCAACAAAAAAACCATTTTTGACATTCCATCTACAATGTAAAATACCTGAAGAAGGATTTAATAAATCCCTTAATTATTCATTATAAATTTCTGTAAAACTTGCTTTTACATAAAATTGCTCTTGTCTTTAAACCATTGCCTACCATAAATAACGAACGGCCCTAGGAATAATTCCTTCAGTTTCATCTGAAACATATACTTCTGTACAAAGTTTCTCTTCAGCACCTGCCATAGTATAGGTTTTGCCTGAGCCTGTTTATCCATAGGCAAATATAGTAGCTGAATACCCATCTAGAGCGCTTTATAATAATCCCTTTTTTTTTATATATATATATATATATAATTTCTATTATTATTATATTCTATATTATTATTACTGCACATCCACATTTTAAAAATGCTTCACTTTAAGTACAATTTTCAGCCAAAACTTAATTGTAATCATAACTTTTTACTTGTCCCCTTTTTTTATGAAAAAAAATATTTGCATATACGATTTCAGTTTTATTTTTACTTTTATTATATCTAAACTTAATTATCACCCATTAATTTTATACAATATTCATCTCCTCTTTATTTTTCTATTGTATTCATAGGTCTTATTCTTAATACAACTTTTACACTTTCTCCTCCACTATAATCTTATTATTATATATTTTATACATTAATATTATTTATTGATTTATCGGATTTTAAAGAAGAATGCGTTGATGGTGAATCTAATGTATTTGCTTGATTTTATTGTTAATTTTGCTATTTTAAGGTTTAATTTTAGGCTTAATCATATAATTATTAATTTTGCTTTTATTTGTTATTTTATTGTTTTAATGGTAAGTTAGAATTTAAGCCTAACTTTTCTTATTTTTTTGGTTAGCTTAACTATTGTTTATCCTTTTTGATGGTTTTTATACTTTATTTATTATTCATTTTATTTTATTTTAATTTCTTTATTTTGTTTTTAATTTTTTTTAAAAAAATATTTGTATATACATAATATTTTAATATTATATTTTTTTTAAATAAAACATATAACTTTCTAAATTAATTTTTTTTATTAAATTATATGAATAAAAGAATATTTTTTTTTTTTTTTTTCTTTTACTAAATATATAAAATTTTATTTATATATTTAATATATATATATTTTTTTTTTGAAAATATAATATTTTTTTAAGTATTATAAGATAGAATAAAATCAAATAATTGAACATTTTCTTTATTAAATTTAATAAATATTTAATATTTAAAAATTAAAATTATTAGTATTAAATTTTTTAGGTAATAAAAATTTAATTTTATGTAATATTAATAATATTTGCATTTTTTTTTTCTTTTTAATATTATTTAAGATATTATATAATATTATCTACTTAAAGAAATTATTATTAAGTTGTGAATTTTAATTAATTTTTAATAATCGAAATAGATTAAAATAAGAATTCAATAAATATTTTCTTATTTGACAAGTTAATAAATATAAATTTATAATAATTCTAATCAATAAAATAAGCAAAATAAAATTTTATTATTTAAAAATAAAAAAACTATTTCGCAAAACTAAGTTTTATTTTTAGCTTGGTTCTATAATCATTTTATATTTACAGCAAATTTAATAAATAATAAATAATGGGAAATTAATGTTGTAAAATGAATTATAATATAAATGAAACAGAAGGTTATTTTTTTAAAAAAATATAAGCGCTATATCAGCAAAATTTATAATTTTTTTAAACTCATAATTGTATTTAATCCATTTAATAATTATTATTTAAAATAAATAAAAGACAAAGAATAAATAAATTTAACTTATAATAATATCGAATAATAAAAAACTATTGAAAAAACTTATGATTAAAAGAAAGGAACTCTTTGTTAATAGGATTCTAGTTATTTTGTAAAAAAAATTAATAAATTAAAATAATTAAAAAAAATATATACATATAACTTCAATAATATTTATAAATTAAAATAATAAAAATATTTATAAAATAAAAATAAAAAAGTAATCTATAAAATCACACAATTCAAAATTAGCATATTCAGATAATAGAATAACTCAATTAGATTTTGAATTCTAAATTTCATTAGAAAGTAAATAATGTAAAAAAAACTAATAAAAATATAATTATAATAAATTAAAAAAGAAAAATATAATAATTTATAAGAAGATAGAAAGAAAAGCGTATAAAATATACCTATCTAATAATAATAGTAAAGTAATAGAATAAGTATCCTTTAAATACCTGGCACCCATTAAAAAATAATAGAAGATGACTAAAACTAATAAAAAAATTAATAATAAATTGAATCAAAAGAAGATTAAAAAAAAACAATTGATAATTCTTCTACAAATGAAGATAAGAATTAATAATAATAATAAAGTCCTATTGAATAAAAAAAAAAAAATCATAAAAAATATAAGAGGAAGAAGATATAAAAAAATAAGAATCTTAAAGTACTTCGAAAAAATAATCATCAAAACAAAGTTAATCTTCTTTATAAAATTCACAATAAAGCCAACCAAATTAATAAAAAAAAAGTGAATTTACAGTTTCTCCTGATATATTTATTCATTTAAGGGTCGGTTCTATTTCTTAATATTATAAAATTGGAGAAGTATTAGGAGAAGGAGCATTTGGCTAAGTAAGTAAAGTAATCCATAAAGCAACCGGAATGGTTCGAGCAATGAAGAATTTAAAGAAATCTTCTTTAATAAAAGAAGAAGAAGAAAAGTTATTTTCCGAAATGAATGTTTTAAAAAACCTAGATCATCCGAACATATTGAAATTAATCGAATTATTTCAAGATAGTAAAAATTACTACTTAATTACTGAGTTAAAATAAAATAAAAATAAAATAAAATTAAAATAAATAAAAAAAGATATTGTTCAGGTGGTGAATATTTTGATAGAATAAAATCAATAAATTAATTTACTGAAAAAATGGCTGCCGATTATATGAAATAAATACTTTCAGCAGTTGTTTACTGTCATTCTAATAATATAGTACATAGAGATTTAAAGCCTGAAAATTTACTTTTCGATTCCGATAAAAAAAATGCAAATTTAAAAGTTATAGACTTTGGTACTTCTAGAAAAATTGATAAATCTAAAAAAATGACTAAATTATTAGGAACAGTAAGTATTTTTTTTTTAAAAAAATATTAATTTTAATATAACTATTATTATTTATTTATTAAAAAAAAGCCATATTATATAGCACCGGAAGTATTAAGTAAAAAAATAATATTTCTTATTTAAAATTTAAACAAAACAAAAAAGATAAAAGTTATGATGAAAAATGTGATGTCTGGAGTTGTGGAATTATTTTGTTTATTTCATTATGTGGTTATCCACCTTTTTCAGGTAGAAATGAAGATGAAATATTAAAAAAAGTTAAAATCGGTAAATTTAAATTCGATCCCGAAGATTGGGACCATATATCAAATGATGCTAAATAATTAATATAAAAAATGCTTACTTATGATCCAAAAAAGCGCATAACAGCTCTATAAGCACTAAACGATTAATGGGTTTAAAAAAATGCGCCTTCGATTCCAATAAATTAAAAATCTTTGCAAAATCTAGCCGGTTTTTATACACGTTCAAAGATTAAATAAGCTATAATGACCTTTATTGCTTCTTAAATGGTAAGCCAGAATGATAAAGAAGAACTTTAAAAATCCTTTAGATCACTAGATATTAATGGAGATGGTATTTTGAGTAAAGATGAGCTTGTTTAGGGATATTTTTAAGTATGTGGAGATAAGGAAAAAGCCATAGCTCAAGTTGAAAAAATTTTAGCTGAAGTTGATACTAATAATTCTGGGAAAGTTGATTTTACAGGTTTTTTTTTTTTTTTACGAAGTTTTTTTTTTTTTTTTTTTTTTCCTAGAATTTCTAATGGCAGCTGCTAATAAAGAATAAATTTTATCTAAAATTAAAATGGAATAGGCTTTTAAAATATTTGATTAAGATGGAAACGGAACTATTAGCAAAGACGAATTAAGTAATATTATGGGAAATATAGAAGAAGGATTTTGGAAGGAAATTTTAGAAGAATGTGATAGTAATAAAGATGGTGTTATTTCATAAAATGAATTTATTGATTTACTAATTAAAAAATAAATATAAGTTAAATGATTTTATATTAACTTCTCTCAATTTACTACTATTTTTATTGTAATTAAAGCTGTTTATTATGTTTTCATTATTATATTTTTATTATTAAATAATATATTTATTATATGTATATAAATATATATATATTTATTTTTTATAATTAATTATATAATAAATAATTTTAATCAATTTAAAAAAAAATTTTTGCATTTTTTATTTAAATAATTATTTTAATTTTAAAAAAAATATATTAAAAGAAAGTTTCTCTAGTATTACAACTTTTTAAAATAATAAATAAATAAAAATAGTAATACTTAAAATATAGAAAAAGAATATTAGAAATATATATATAAATCTTTTATATAAAAGTTATATAATTCATTATATTTAATTTTTAGCTATTGTATATCATTAATTACACATTTTTTAATTTACATTAACTTTTTAAACTTCAATATTAGCTATTTCGCTAAATTTGGGGTCCATATATTTTTTACGGATAGATTAATATTAAAATTTAGGAGCACTATACAGTATATTGAACATGCAATAAGCACACTCTTTTAACATCTATTCATTATATTTTGAATTATTTTTTAAGTTATCGCTCCAGCTATTTTATTTTTTTAATAATTTATTAGTAAGGAAAACTGCCGATGCTGCTTTAAGAGATTCTGAAAAGGGGACCATATGCATTTCCATAAAGCTTAATTCTAATAAATACATACATAAATCGAATTATTTTTTATCAATCATTTCTATAAGACAATATCTTTACAAAAATCTATGTGCAGAAGGAACTGTTAAATTAAAGCTTAAAGTCTATAAAATAAATCCTTCCATTTATAAAGCTTCTATTTGATTATACGCTCTTTAAGTTACTTCTAGGAAATCTCTTAATGGAGGTGGATATATTTCTTCATATTTAGCAGCTATAAATAAACATGTTATTCCTACTAATTAAAGTTTCTAATAAGCACAATATGAATACTTAGCTAAAAATCTATCTATCAAATTTGTTGCCATAAATAAAGTTTCAGGAAGGAAACGGAACTTTTAATGAACTTAAACTATCCAATCTATTAATATAACTCTCATTCTTTCGCTTATATGTATATGATTTTACATATAGTTTGGAATATGAAAATCATCCTATTTATTTTATTTTTTTATTAATTTTAGTTAAATTTTTTTTTTTTTTATTATAATATTATAATTTTTTTTTTTTTTTTTTCAAATAACAAATATATTTTTATATTCATATATATTTATTTAAATAAAATATTAACTTCTCTAAAATGGAGATATTCATATATTTAATCCTAATATTAGTCTACAAAACAAGGATTTAACAAAATTTTTTAGTTTTATACATTTTTAGAAAAAAATTCTTACTAAATTTTAATATTATTATTAATACTAAAAGTTGATATATTTTTTGCTATATTTTGCGAGATTTCAGAAGAATGTTTTATATGCATGCTAAATTTCTTAGAAGAAGCTCTTGTTTTATAGTTTTCTTATTATTAAAATGCATTTTAATCCAAATCTAAGCTTGATTTTTAATGATGTAAATTTAAGTTTTCTTTTATAGATTAAGATCTTACATTTTATTATTATTATTGTTGTTATTATTGTATTTATTATTTCTTTTTTTTTTAAATTTTTACTAATATATATATTTAATATGCATACCTGCTTTATATTGTTGCCTACTATTTATTTATATAAATTTTTTTATAAAGCTAATTAAATTTAGTTAAACTCTACAAAAGCATTTTCTGCACTTCTTTATTATAAACAAGCCATTTAATTTTTTATTTAAAAAAAAAAAAAATTGAAATTAATTTTAAATATATATATAAAATTTAAAAAAAAAAAATTATTTAAGTAAAAAATAAAAATATAAAAAATTTAAACAAAAGTAATATTTTCATTTGCTATATTATGTCTTTCTTTTTAATTTTTTTATTAATTCTGAGCATACTAAAATAAAAACGATATAATTTAATGAAAATTATAAATATTAAGCTTACATTTAAATCTTAATTAAGGAGACTAATTAATTTATATATGATTTTTTATTTCTTCAATAAGTTTTCTATAAAATTCTTCACACTCTTCTTAATTAGATTACCATATTTAAATCATAAATATATCATTTGATTTTTTAGTAATAGATATTCCATTAATAAACTCTTCATCATAAAAATTTTGAAACTATAAAAAACAAATAAAATTAATTAATATTATAAAAATACAAAAAATACATTATAATCACAGATATATATATTTTAAAATATAATATTTTTATATTTAATATATAATACCTCATTAGAAAGCCAAAAAATAAGAGTTTCAAGCCAAAAGCTTTAAAAATTTTCTTTAATTTATATTTTTGATACACTTCCATTTACATTATTATGGTCTTCCCTTAAAATTTATTTTTAAATACTTATATATATATATATATTATATAATAAAAAATTAAACCATAATGGCTTTATTCCATTTTTCATTATATGATATGAAGAATCTATTGATATATCTTATAGTAATGGAACATTGTTATAAATTTACCAAAAATTCTAATTAAAAAACAATTTTAATTTTTATTTTTTTTCAAAAAAAGTACTTATATGGTGCTGAAATTGCTTATTATTTTAAGTCCTTTTTCGTAAATATTTTAATATTTTTACTAATTGTAATCATCAAACCAAAATTAAAAAGTATAACTTAACTAATCATTTTATATATTATTTATTGATTCGGCGCTCATTTTTAAGATTTATATTATTTAAAGTAAATTATATATTGTTAAAAATAAAAATAAAAAAGATTTATAATAAAAAGTATTATGATTAAGATAAATATAAAAGATTAAATAATAATATTAAAATAATAAAAAATATGAAATAAAAATATTAATTAAACAAAAGTAAAATATAGAAACAAAAAAACAATATATGATTATAAACTTCATTGATTTAATCCTATTTTAACTTAAATATATTTTTTTTTAAAAAAAAATTTAAATTCCACTTAAAAATAGAAATAAAGAATAAATATGTTTTATCTAATTTTATAATTTAATTACGTTTTTGAATTAATGATTATTTATTTTAAAATTATAAGTTTTATAAAAAATTTTTTTGAAAATATATATATATTATAAGTTTATATTATTGAATTCTTATCAATTTCTCTTTATATCAAATCATCATTAAAGCTTATAATTTTTAATTTAATATTTAAATTAATATAAAATATTATTAAAAATTAAAAAATTATTAATTAAATTAAATTAAATTGAAATTTATTCTATGTATTTATTAAAATTTATTTATAAATACATTAATATCTAATTAATATTTTATTAAGAGATTTCTTTTTAAAAAGTATTTTTTCATTAAATAAATAAAAATATGAAATATATTAAAAGACTGTTAATATATGTATTTACTTAATTGTTTTAACAGGCAAGTTCTATTATTCATTTAAAAAAACTAAAGAAATATTTTTACATAAATTTTATTTAATAAAATAAAATGATTTTATATATAAATTTTTTTATAATTTATACTTAATAATTATATATAAAAAATTAATAGAAATTCTCGAAAAATAATAAATTAACAATAGGAATTAAAAATAAATAGATATATATTAAAAAATAAAGCATTTTATATATAAATGCTTTCTGTATTAATTCAATAAAATAAAATTAAATAATATATATTGATATAATAAATTTAAAAATAATATTAAAATTTAGCTATCATTTGTAAATAATAAAAATTATGCATATATATATTTGAAATAATAATAAATATATATATATACATTAAATAATAAAATATTTTTTATTAAATTAAAAAGAATTCAATATCAAAAATTTTAAGAGTTATTATAAAATTAATAAGGTACTTAAGGTGATTACATTCCCATTTAGAACTAAAAATAATAAAATATTAATTTTTTTTTATATATATATAATTATAGAATACCTAGTTCATCATCATAAATTAATTATTTTACATCATTAATAATTGCTACATTTACATTTATTCAGAAAGCATAACGTGTTCTTTTTGAATTTTCTCTAATCCTAAAGTAAGTTCTTTACTTTTTTCATTGTTTTAATTTTCTTTTAAAAACGCAATCAATATATTACATGCGCCCATAGGATTTCCATTTCTATTCATTTAATCAGAATTTGCTACAGCAGGTTGATTTGGAAAAGCTTAATCAATTTAAATAATAAAGTTATGTAAATTAACTGCAAACTAATTTAGTATTTAAGCTTCAATTAAATTTATTTAACCCATTGACTATTATTATTACTATTATTATTATTATTAATATTGCATCATATTCATATCAATTTAATTATTCCCTTAAGGATATTACATGTTTTGAAAAAGATTCTTTTTTTTATTATTTTTAATATTAAAATATTTTTTTTATTTTTTTTAACACCTTCATTCTTAACTCTTATTTACTATGTGCGAAATTGCATCTACTTTCATATTTGCAATTACATTCACCTTTTTTATTTTTTAATCAGTAAAAATATTTAGAGTATATTTTACCAGTTAGTTCATTATATGATTTACACATTACAGATTTGTAATTTGATTAAGCAATGTTTACCGGAGCTTAATATTGATTGCTAATATTGACAAAAGCTTTTTTCTTTTGATATATATATATATATATATTATTTTAATAAATATTTTTTTTTATTTACTTAATTTCCCATCTATAATTCATGTTCTCCCTATATAATATATATTTTTTGTTAAAGTAATATTATAAATTTATTTGATTTTTTATTAATTTTTTAATTTTTTTACATGTGCAAAACAACATTCGTTTTTCTTTGGGCATGTTCTACCTATTATTTTTTTTTTTTTAGTTTATATGATTTTATATTTACTTGCACTATAATGCTTGCAAAGTTGTGTTTTAAATTTACTACTGTCAACTATTTGTTATGGAAATTACATTTTTAAAAAAAGATTTTTTTTGTTTTTTTATTGTTTAATTAATAAAATGTATATATATTTATATAATAAATCTAAATATATTTTATATTTAAATTATTATTTTCCTTTCTTTTATAGATATTAATTGTTAAGTAAAATTTTATTTTGATAAATATAATTTCAGAAATTTAAAAATAAAATAAATTATTTTATTTTTTACTAAATGAATTATTTTGTTTAAATAAAATTTTTATCTTATTTTCAAATATTGCAAATAAATAATTAAGATTTAAATTTAAAAAAAACTATATAAAACATATGCTAAAAATAAATTTAATAATAAAAGTATTAAGATATATATATATATATATATATATATATATATATATATATATATATTTATATTTACATATATAAAGTACAACCTATATATTTAATATAAAAAAAATATAAAATATATGGAATAAGCATATATTAATAAAATTTCATAATAATTATATATAGTTTGTTATAATTCAGCTATTAATATCAGTGTAATATAAAATGATGAGCAAATAGATAAAGCATATAATAATTGTATAGATTTATTTAAAAAATCAAAATATATTTCTTACTAATCGTTTTTGTAATTTGTTAGAGAAAAAGGTCTAAAAAGTAAGTAAAAAAAATTAATAAGATTTAAATTAAATATAATGAATAAGTAGATTTTGAAATTATTAACATATTATAAATAGAAATAAAAAAAAAAAAAAATATGTTTTTAGTACATAACATTTTTATTTACATATTGTCGAGTTTTTTATAATTTTATTAAATTAATTTTATTTTATAAATAAGTATTCATTACTTAAATATTATATACCGTTAAAATACGAATAAAGAACATTATAATCTATAAATATATAATAATTTAACATTTAAAATAAATTTTTATTTAATAATATTCGAAGTGTATAAAGAATAAGAATAATATAAAAATATATTTTAATATATTATAATTGATAATAAAAAATTATAAATTAAGAATGTCCTTTTCTATATAATCTAGTTATTTTGTAAAATGACAGAAAAATAAAAAATAAAAAAGTATTATAATTATTATTTTTTTAAATTAATACTTTTATTGTTTTTTTTCAATTAAATATTATGAAAATGGGGATCTAGCTCAAATGGTAGAGCGCTCGTTTAGCATACGAGAGGCACTGGGATCAATGCCCAGGTTCTCCATATTTTTTAATTATAAAATTAAAAATTTAATATTTATTAAATAAATTAAAGTTAAAATCACAAATTATATTTCGTATCTTTTTTAAAGAAAATTTAGATAATTAAAATTAAAATAAAATGAAGAAAAAAAATAATTTATGAAAAATATAAAATTAAAATATTTATATTTATTTATAAATAATAAATTTTTATAAGTGTTTATATATATATAATTAATAATTTAATAAATAAAAAAATATTTATTTTAAAGAAAATTTTTAATTTAAATTATTAAGTTTACTCTTTAAAAAATATATAGAAAACCAATGTATTTTAGATAATTATAAATAAAAATTAAATTGAAATATCAAAATTTAAAATAAAAAAATTTATTTAATATAAAAAAAAAAGTTATTATATATATGGAAAACTTTTATACTAAATAAATAAAATATAAAAAAATATCTAATTAAAAATATTTATTATTATTTTATATTATCAAATTTTTTATAATATATAATAATTATATTTATATATATAAATAATTATATATATATTTATTTATATTATTAACTAAATTATAAAGAAATATTTTAATTAAAAAAAAAATTATATAAATATATTTTATAAATATTTAAAATATATATTTTAATAAACATATATTTTATAAATGTAAAAAATATTATATATTTATAATTATATAAATAAAATAAAATAAAATATTATATTATAATAATAAATTAAAAATGAATTAAATTTAATAAGTTAATAAATAAGGAAGAAAACTTTTCAAATATCATATTGATTAAAATATTTAAAGATATAAGAATTAATAAATGTTTACTTATAGAGTTAATAGATGGAGATGGAATACAAAAGATCATTCCACCCGTAATTTATTTAAAATTTATATTTTATTTAAAAATATAATCAATATTTACATTTTACAAAAACAAAAACAAAAAAGCTCTTAAATTCTTTAGATTAAAATATCCTTTAATGTGGTCTTTTACTGCTATTTTAGTTTACGGTAATTTATAATTATTAAATAATATTAATATAATTATATTATTTTAAACATAAAATTATAATATAAAAAAAAAAAAAATTAATTATTTTTACAAAAAAGATTGGACTTATGGATGGACTTAACTTAGTTCACATTGATTTTTTTTAATAAAAACAATATTTATATTTAAATGCAAATTAATACTATTTACAATGCATTTTTTAAAAAAAAAGAATAATTATTTGAAAAAAAAAAAATATATATATTTATAAAAAAATAAGATTAATTTATTATTTTTTTTAAAAAAAAATATAAAACTAAATTAATAATATTTTTTTTAAAAAAAAAGAAAAAATAAATAAAAGTAAATTCAATTTTAAAATAAAAAATTATTAAAGATAATTACTAAAGACTTTTATATATAATTTTTTATTTTTATTTTTTTATTTTTTTCAATCAAATTTACTAATATAATATTAATATTATTAATATTATATTATAGTTTTTTTTTAATTATTATTCTTTTTTTAAAATTTTTCATTTTGTATTTATAAATTACCAATTTCCTGCATTATCAAGTTCTCCAAAATTAATACCATCCCCATATCCAATATATCCTAAATTAGTAAAAGACCTATCTACAAGTTTTCTATCAATATTAGGTTTATAATCATAGAATTAACTATCATCTTCATCTTCGCCTAAGTTGTCATTTTATTCATTATCAGCATCATGATCATCTGAACTAGAAATATAATTTTTATCCTATTCTATTTCATAACCAATTAACTTTGCAATATCAATTTATTTTTGTTTAGCTTTCATATAGTCGTTATATTATTATTCATTCATTTTATATTCATATTCGTTTGTTTATCCTTTTAGCCATGGATGTTCTAACATTTATTAAGCTGTTTTTCTCTTTTCAGGTATACAATTTAACATTTACATCATAAAATCTTCAAATTCTCTAGCTTCTTTTCTTTGATATGATATCTATTTTTTTTTTTTTTAATAAATATAAATATTTATTTAATTTAATTTTTTTTACTTTTCAATCAAAACACAATGTAAAGGCCAATAATGTAATTAAGGAATTCTTTTAAGTTTACCATTTTTATCGAAATATTTCTAATTTTATTAATTTAATAAAATTATATTATTTTTACTAAGTAAAAAATACCTTAGAATTTGTTCCTTTCAAAGCATAATTTTTAGGGAACTTTTTACATAATTCCTATATTTGGGCTAAATGATCATCATTTTTCGAAAAATTAGGCCCTTTTCTAGGTTCAAATAGAAAATCTCCAGTTAATATTTCAAAAAGCATACATGCTAAACTCCAAATATCTGCAGTTTGATTATACATATTACCAATAAGTACCTTTTATAATTAATAAAAGAAAAAAAAGAAAAATAAAATACTTCAGGAGAACGATATTATCTAGTCTAAATTTAAGTCGAAAAATGATAAAAAGTATAACAAGCGTTTCCTAAATCCGCAATCTTTAACTTAAAATCTTCCTATAATTTAGGTCCTCTTAAAAGGGTATTTTTATTTAAAATTTATTAATCTGGTTTAGAAAACAATTTGAAATTATCTTAATTATTATTTTCTTAATCATTATTTTATTGTTAATTATTATTTTCTTAAGAAAGTTTATTTATAGGAACCCCTTCTTCCTATAATTTATTTTTCTTTTTATTTATTTTTTTCTTTAAATTTTTCTTCTAGTTTTTCGTCAAATTCCCTTCTTTTAGTTTCTCTTTTAATTTTTTAAAATTCTCTATATTTAAACTATTAATAATAACAGCTTCCTTTTTCTCATTTTCATTAATTTTTTCTTCCTTAATATCCATAATTTCCTATAATCCAAGTAATTTTCTAATAACTTAAAGTCTTTATTCACATACTTCCCTTCCTTTAATTTACCCATTTTCAACAATATCTTTAAGATCTTCCTAAGTCAATTAAAGCAACACATTTTCCGGTTTTAAATCAGTATGAATAACATTACAATATCTATCTAAAAAATCTAACCCTATAAGACATTATTTAGCTATTTTTCTACATAAATTCATCGGAACACCTTAATAATTATATCTTTTTATTACTTCAAGTAAATTAACTCCAAGAATTTCAAACACAAAACAAAAATGGCTTCCATAAGGCCCATTATATATAAAACTATTCAATAATTAAACTACTTAACAATCATCTTTTGTTAAATACTTTCTGTTCTCATCTTAATGATATTTCTATAAATCTTTTAACCATTCAGGGTCTTTGCATTTCTATGCAACTTTTTATAATACTTCCACTTCATCAAAAGCAGCTTCTAAATAGTTATTAGCGCATTTCTGCACTTTCAATGCTACATATGTTTCATATTTAAAATCTTTAGCTAACCATACTGTAGAAAAATGGCCCCAACCAATTTTCTGAATTACTACATATCTCTTATTTATCACTTCTCCTATATGTACTGGATGATATCCTCCTATTTTGTAGTCTTAAATTCCTTCATCTTCACTATCATGTTCTTAGCCAACTTAATCTAAAAGTTATTCAAGTGTTTATCTTTTTGTTTATTTTTTATTTTTATTTTATTTTATATTTTACTCTTCATTATTGTTTTGAGAATCAGTTTAAGTTGCTTCTTGCTAGTTTTTTTGTTCGAAACATTGATTTGTATTATCTTAATTTTGGTAAACATTTTGTGATTTTGTTTATTTATCTTCTGTTTATGAATATATATATATATATATATATATATATATATATATGTTTTATTTTCTGTTATTAGACTTTTTTTTTATTCAACCTGCGAAATAGTTTGTTTTTAAGTTACTTTCTTTTAATATCTTTTTAAATTTATTTTAAGAAATTAATTAAATTTTTGTTAAAAAATATATTCGTTTCTTACTTTGTTTTCTTTTTCTATAATATCCTCATTAAAACTTAACATTTATTCTGTATTTATTTGTTTTTGATGTTTTTAAATTTCATTTTGAAAATCAAAATTAACGTGCTCTCCAAAAGGCTTAATGGTATCTTTTTTATAAATTTATATGGCTATACTTCTTTTTAATATTTATTTATTTTTTTGAGTATACCTTCTATGATCATTTTTTTTTATTTTATTTTATTTTTCAAAATAATACAATTTAAAAAAAAATGATTATCTTTATATTAATATTTAAATTTTTTTTTATATAAAAAAAAAAAAATCAAAAAAAAACCAAAAAAGCTAAATTCATAAAAAGAGAAAAATTAAATTATATAATTTTAAATTTTTTCCTTAAAAATGATTATTTAATTTAATTAAACACACTATATTTTATATTTTTTCATTCTTTGAAATTAATTAATGCTTCCCTAAAACTTTTATAAAATTTATTACAATTTATAATTATTCATGATATTATAAAATAATATAAATGTATTTGAAAAAAAATAAATAAAAAACAGTAATAAACAATAATTAATTATATTTTAATTTAAATATTATATTATTGGACTTTTAAGGCAATTAATAATTTAAAAATAAAATAATAAAATGAATAAAAAATTTTATATAAAATTAAAATAAACTTTTTTTAAAAAAATAATATTTTATATATTTATATTATCTTTCTTGATAAAATTTATTTATATTTTATCCTTTTTATTTATATTTTTAAATGACAATTTAGTAATATATATATTCATATTAAATTTAAAAACTTTTTTTTATATTTTTTCGAAATTTATAAATTTATAATAATATAATAAATGTTTATATCTATTTTTATAAATATTAAAAAATGGTTTAAAATATTATATTACAACAATGTAAATATATAAGTAAGATAATTTATTAAAATATATATTATATTAAATTATTTATTTATCATAAATTTAATAATTATTTTAATATTATTTTATATTTTTAAATATCTAAATATGTTAAATGCCTTATATTTTTACATAAATACAATATATTTGATAAAAAAATATTCAAATATTGTTTCGAATAATATAATTATATCAAACTTCAAAATAATAAATATATAAAAAAAAAATATTATATACTATTATTAATTGTAAATAATTTTAAGCTTAGAATATTATAAATTTAAATTCCTTTATATATATAATGTTAATTATAATATTATTTTGTAAAAATAATAAAAAAAGCTATTTTATTAATAATTATAATAAAAATGCAATTTAATAATTAAAAATAATTAAACAAATAAAAAAAATAAAATATAAATGTTAAAAAAAATTAATAATTATAATATTTAAAATAATCAAATATAAGCAATATATATAATTCAATAAAAAAAAATATGGAAACCAAATAATAATATATACAATTATCTGAATAAGAAATATAAGTAAGTGATTTTTTGATTAAAAATGAAATAGAATGTGAAAAAATAAAAGATTTATTATAAAAAGCTTATGAAAGTAAAGATAATCACAAATATTAAGAATCCCAGTCTTTATATTTAGAAGCTATAAACATATAAAAATAAAACTATGGCGAGAATTCGTTATATTTGGCTTCTATATATAAAAAGTTAGCATTTCTTTTCTAAAAACAAAGAGACTTCAAGAACTCTTTAGATTACTATATTATAGCTTTAAAAATATATTAAAATTAAAATAAACATTATTCAAGAGAAGGAACATGTTTAATTTCTATTTCCAATTTATATTTAATTTAAGAATAACTGTAAGAATCATACGAATATATATAAAAATCACTCGATTTTATTATAATTTTGAACTAGAAGATGAAATATGAAGCCTCTATTAATTTGTTAAGCTTTAAGGCTTAGAAGAAAAGATGATATTGCGCAAAAACAAAAAATATAAGAAGAAAATTAAATTATTGATTGTAAAGAATAAACTCTATGCTGTATTTGCCTTGAAGATATTCCAAAAAATGAAAAAGTTCGAAAATTACAATGTGAGCATTTATTCCATATAAAATGTATAGGGTAATGGATTTAGTAAAGTTAAAAATGTCCCTATTGTAGAGAAATATTGTAAAAAGAAATTTGAAAAATTAAAAATATTTTATATGTGGTTATATAATATGCTTGTTTTATTTTATTTTTATTTTAATTTATTTATTTTATTTTTATTTTAATTTATTTTATTTTATTTTATTTTATTTTATTTTATTAATTATTAAAATATTATTATTTTTTTTTACGTTTTTATTTTAAATATTTTTTATTAATTTTAAAATAAATTTTAATTTATTTATTTTTTTTTACCTAAAAAAAAAAATATTAAATTTTACTTAAATTATAAACTATTTTTCTTGTTTTTGTATTATTAAATTAACTTTATTTTTAATAGTATTCCAAAAAATGCTAAACTTTATATATAATTTTTTTATTTTAAACACCAACATATTTATTATACAATTTTATAATAATAATTATAGTAACTATAATTTAAAAAAGTTATACTAGTGTTAAAAATACTTAAAATTCTATATTTAATATTTTATAATTAAACTTTATGGTATTATTATTTAATTATAATCAATTAAAATAATTTAAAAAACTAAATTTAATTTTTAGTTTAATAACACTTTTACATTATGGATAAAATGTAAATATTAAAATTATTTTCAATTTAATATAAAAATGAAAAAAATATTAATTTTTTTATTTGTAATCATTAAAATTTAATCTTAAAAATAAAGCAAAAACAATTCTATTTACATTTTTAAAGTATAGTTATATTTTAATATATAAAATAGAACCATTTTAATGTTTAAATAATTAAATTTAGTAATAAAATTATATATTTAAATAATAAATATAATCGAATTTTATATTATTACAAATATTTATAAAAAGTATATAAAAATAAATATTATATTATAAGTATAGTTTTATTTTATAAATAAAAATTGTATTTTTAAAATAATAATAATTTTTTTAATTATTAATTAATTTATATAAAATAAAAAATATTTATATATTATTTTATATATATTTTTTAAAATTTATAAATACTATTATATATTTATAATATATATATTTTAATATATTTTTAAAATAAATAATTTTTATTATTTTTCAAATAGCTCAGTTAATTAAATTAAATACTATTATAAATTATATTTGTTAATGTATTATAAATGTAATTTGTTTTAATTTTAATTATTTCTCGAATTAATTTAATAATTCTTTTTATTAATTAATATTTATATTTATTATATTTATTGTATTATTAATTTTATGATAAAATTATTTTCTAATACAATTATATTTTTTTATTATATAAAAATATTTAATTTATTAATTAGATAAAGTATTTATTCCTTTATATTTATTTTATTTAATTATTTTTATTTACCAAATACAAACATATCATAATTTTCTTTAAAAAAATCTAATATTAATGTTTATAATAACAAATTAATTTATTATAAAATTTTCATAAAAAAAAAAATTAAATAATAAAATTTACATGTAATATTTTTCTAATTAATTTTTTTTTTTATATAAAAAATAAGATAAAATATATTAAATTTAAAAAGAACACTAAAAAAAATTTTATTTGTTCTTTGTATAAAATAAAAATAATTTAATTTATTTTTTTTAAAAAAATTAGTTTAAGAGTTAATTTTTAATATATAATAAATTATAAAAAAAAAAAAATTATATATAAATATATATACATATATATATATATTATATTTTCTAATTTCATAATTATTATTTTATAAATAATTTATAATTATTATTAGTTTTTTATCGTTTAATAAGCTAATTAATTTTCTTTAATTATTTCTAATAATTTAAAAAACACAGTATTTGGATTATTTACTAAAACTTCTGGACTAAAATATATATACAAAGAAAACTGATATAATTTGCATTTTAAATATATTTTTTTCCTTATTTAATAGTTATGATCTTTTCTGTTTTTGTTAGAAATTGTATATAAGAATCTTATAAATAATTTTTTTAAAAAAATAATTTAGTCCCTTTTATGGGAATAGGTAACTTAATTTATTTAAGAATCTTAATTTTATTAAAGGCAAGCATCAATATAACTAGTTGCTTTAAATTTAAGTGTATAAATAGAAGACATGTTATTTATATTATTTTTATTTTAAATAAATCATAAAAGTATTTGAAATAATTAGAATAATAATATTTCCCGTTTAATAAATTTTTAAAAATACTTAAATATAATCTTTATATATCTGTATTATACATTTTTTGCTTGAAAAATGAAGAATTATGACTATAATTTGCTGATTTTCATTATATATAATGGTTTATTGAATAATCCATAAATTTATATGTTATTATTCCAAAAAAAAGTGAATTTTTTAATAAAAAATAAATATTAAAAGAAAAATTATTTTGCAAATAGATTAACTATAGATAATTAATTGCATTTTCGTTTAAACTAACTTTTAGATTTTTAATAATTATTTAAAATAAATTATTTTTAATTGTGTATCCAAAAGTAAGCCTCATAAAAAAGATTATATTAAAATATCACCCATACTTTAATACTAAATAAAGGTATAGACCATATAAAGATAAAATGTCTAAAAAGTATTATATTTATCACTAATATTATATTTAAATTATCCAAAATTTGAAAATAAATCCAATTAATTATTAATCTGAAATTATAATTAATAAACAAGCATAAATATGTGAATATATAATAATTATATTAAAATATAATAGAAATAATAAAAATTAATATATGAAAAAAATTTTTAAATACATTGATTGAAATAATATGAAAAATAGATATATAGATAATTTAAATAAAATACCATAAAAAATATATAAATATTTATTAATTAGAGTATTGGTATTTCCTTAATAATAATTATCTCATGATAAATTAATAAAAGATTTTTAAATAAGTATTTATTATAATTAATATTTTACATTTACCAATTATACAATTTTTAAGATAGATATAGTAAATATAATTAGCTTGTTTTTTAAAGAATATTATAAGATCAAAAAATTATATAAGTAAATGATCAAAATTATTTAAAAAATCTATATTAGCTAAGTATCGAAAAAAATGTTTAGTTTTTACCAAAATTAAAATAATTAATAATATCCACTTTCATCTACAAACCCAAAATAAAATTATATGAAAATAAAGTAGATACTTATATAGAAAGTTAACAAAACTAATTATTAAAAATATCAGAAATTTATATTAGAGAACAAAATGAAGAAGATAAAGTAGAAAAAAACTAAAAAAAACAATATTCTAGAAAAGTTATATTGCTAAATTTTAATAAAATTAAAATATGATTTTATTTATAGAAAATGTTTTTTATATACATAATTTATTAAAAAAAAGTCTATGTATTTATATTAATAAAAAATTCGGATGTGTTTTGGTAAAAAATATTCATGTATAAAACAAATAAGAATAATAATAATAATAATAAGAAATCATCTAATTGTATAATATTAAGTAATATCGGGACTTTTAAAATTAGGAAATCCTAATCCTTAATTTTATTTTCTTTTTTTTTTTTTTTTTTATTCGTATAAATTATTGTCATTATAATAATAAATTTAATTTACTCTCTAGGACCAAAAATTAAAATTTATCTTACATGAGTATCTTTTCCACTATGTTAATTTTATAATATTGCAATTTAAATATTCATTGTTAAAATATAAGGTCTTATTTATATTTAATAATTAATAAAAATTTATTAAAAAGCATTTTATTATAAATACTTTTCAGTTTCATCCAATAGTTTAGTTTTTAATGGAAAAATATACCAACCAGTTGGTTCATTTAGTTCTACATAAACAGCTTCCTTAATAATAAATTATATTTATAATATTTCTTCTATTATATTTTATACTGTTAAATCTTGCAAATTTGTACCAGCTCTTATAGATATTTTACTAGGAGTATAACTTTCATCAGTTTTAAAATCTAATTATATAGCGATTTCCTTTTAATATTAAATTTAAGTATTTATTAAAATAATATTATTTTATTTTGTATATATATTTTAAAAATATTTATAATTAATTTTACTAATTTTAATATATATGTATATATATATAAAATATAAATATCTATTTTTTACCTAAATTCTCATTTTTTTTGAAACTATATATTTATAAAATGTGGCTGATTTCCATCAGACCTTTTTTCAATTAGTTATTTTTAATATATTATTTATCAACATTAATTAATTTAATTATATTATTAAATACTGCCAAAATGTTTTATCATCACCATCTCTTAATTATTCGATTCCATTTCCTGGTTTTGCAGAACTTAATGTCCAGACAGCTTCTTCTCCAATTTCTCTTCTTTAATTATTTGGTTATGGTTTTATATTTGTTTACTGATATTCTATTATTTATATTATATTAATAGTATTATAAATGTCATTTTTTAAATTTAAAATATTATAAAAGTTCTCTATATATAATATATAATATATTTTTTTGCGTTTATCTGAACCTCTATTCTCCATCATCTTTTAATAATTAAATTCTTTTTTATTTACTTTAATTATGTTTTTATATTTTTATAAAGAAATAAATAAATATTATATAAAAGTATTTTTATTAAAAAATATTTTTAATTTATTATTTTTTTTTTTTTAAAAAAAAAAATAATAATAATAATAATAACAATTTTATGAAAAATAACTTATTTATTAAAAAAAAAAAAAAAAATCTTATCAAAAGTATCATTTAATTAATTGAACTTCATCTTCCGATTTTTTAGAAACATTATTATCATCTTCTTCAAACATTTAAACAATTTATATAAAATTTTGACCTTTAGTTTCTTTACAAAATATCCAAATAAATACTAAAGCAATACTAGAACATACTCCGAAAATCTAAAAGTTAATAAACATAATTTTATTTAAACAAATAATTGCAGAAATACTTTTACTTACCCATGCCATAAATGCACTAAAACTCATACCTTCGCCCCCAATAATATCACTGCAATAAATCCATGTTCCAGGTCCAATCATAGTTATATAAAAACCATAAAAAGAAAATAAAAGTACGACAGTAAATATTTACAAATATTCGCTTGTTTAAATATCATACAAAAATAAAATAGAAATCATCAAAAGAATCAAACTAACACTTGTATAACCAATTTTTAGAATCTAAACATGACCCAAAAAATGAGGTAAAAAAGAACCTATAATACAGAAGGTTAATAAAAAAATACTCGAAAATAATAATAATAGATTTAGTTTGTAATAATCATTAGTCACCTAAGAAAAAATTAAACTAGAAAATTAAATAACGGCATTAATTCCAGTCATATTATTAAAAAATTACAATATAATACTTATACAAAATCTATTTTTGTACGATTTTTAATCCAAGCTTTCATTTGAAATTTATTTATTTTCATTTTAATATATATTTTTTTCTTTAAATAATTCCAAAAAGAAATTTTCTATTTCGTCAACAAACTCTTATTTATAATATTTTTCTATATATTTCTTACCTAACTATCTATTTCTATTTTGGTAATAATAATAGGGAGTATCATATTTAAAAAAAACACAAGTAAAAATATTCTCAAAGCACAAACAAATCCAGGAAAAAAAATTATAAATTTCAAATAAAAAGTTATGTCTTTCCATTTAATTATTTGTTACTTATTTTAATCCCATACAAAAAATAGTACAGACAATAATCCCTGATATAGCTGAAATCCAAAACAAATATCCTAGTTTTCCTGTTAATTCTATTGGGTTACATTCCTTTATATATAATGAAACTACACAAAAATTCATTCCAAGAGCTACTCCCATTATAAATCTTGCAATTATAAAAAAATAAATATTAGATATCAAACCTAAGGTAACCGCAAATATTTGTATTAAATCACTTATAATCATAAACTTTCGACGCCCCATTTTATTTATTAGAAATTTTGACATTATACATCCAAAAATAGCCCCCACTGATGTAATTGAAATTATTAAAACCTTTTAAATTTTAATTTTTAATTTTATATTGATATTTACTAAAGTAGAATGAAACTCTTCTGTGTAATGGGACATATCTTCATTTTAATAATAATCATCTGTATCGTATTTAGATATACCAAATTCCAGTGATAATTAATAATACAATAAAGACATTTCGGATATTATATAACCATATGAGAATATACCGAAAGATGCATTTAGACTTTAAAAAAATAATTATTTGAATGATTTATATTATTACATTTTTTTATTTATTTAATAATAAAATATATTGTTTATTAAATACTATATTTATCAATATGTAAATATCTATAATCAATTAAGTAGAATTTTTTATCCGTTTTCGAATAATTTAGTAAAAAAATAAAATAAAAATATAAAGAATTAATTGAATTAATATATAAAATTATATATATAATATTTTAAACATATTAGAATAAATATTGGATTTTATTATTATATTTACGAAAAGTATTTTAACAATAATATAAATAAAAAAAATTTAAATTGTTTATAAATAAAAAGACGACTAATAATAATAAAAAGGAAAATAAAAAAATTAATTAATCTAAAAAAATATTTTTAATTTAAATAAATAAAGAAAATTAAAAACTAATTTATTAATATTCCACAATAATATAATTAATATAAAACAAAAAAAACTTCAATAAATTCCTTTTTCAAAATACAAATGAAAAAAAAAAAATTCTTCTAATCATAGTATCGAAATAACCCAGAACTTCAAAAATAAAACTCATTGAATTATTCTCGAATTTACTAAATAAAATTAAATATAATCATTAAAAACCATTAATACATATTTTTTTTTTTTCACCACTTTTCCACTAAATTGACTACTTAAAGATACAAAAGAACCCATAAAGAAATACAATATTGGAAAAGGAATTAACTTAGTGGATATTTTTTTAAAAATAGTATTTAATTATCCCCTTCGAAACCTTTAACTAGAAATAAGGCAGTAATAGGGCTAAAAAACCAAATGATTAAAATTACTATATTTCCATCATAATTGAACAATCAGCATACACTGATTATTTACTCATTGATATAACTGCATTATATTGTTCTACTGTTACATCAAAAAAAATTTAAGATGGAAACATATTATATATAACATTATTTGACCACAATCATATTATCTTAATTATGAAAGATATTCTAATTATCATTTTAATTATAATAATTATATATCTTTTAGTATTCAAATTTTAGAATTAATTAATTTTTAATTAACATCTCATTAAATAATTTATATGTACTAAATAATTTTTTGGACTACATAAATGTTTGAAAAAAAAAAATAGTCTAAAAAATATACTTAAAAAATATAAAATAATTAATTTTTAAAATACAAAATTAAAATCTATTAATTATATACAATTTATATATATATATATATATTTATTATAAAAATAAAATAAAATTATAAGATATTCTTTATAAAAATTAAAAGATAAAATTAAATTTGATAAATACAAATATATTTTAAATAATTTATTTATTTCTATTCATATCTTAAACGATATAATATGCAGTGTAATAATTAAATACATCGAAGAATTATAAAATAAAAATGCTTGTTTTTACATTTATTATATCTTTGCTTTTTTTAAATTATTTCTAAAAAATCTAAATGATTATCTTTATGCGAAAAAAAATAAAAAAAAATTAAAATCTAACTATATAAAATTATTGTTCATTATTTAAATTAATTTATTTTTATTAAATAAAAAGTCATAAAAACATTAAATATTTTTTATATTTTAAAAATTTAATTGAATTAAATAAATTAAATAATATATGTATTTAAGTAAATATTATCATAATATCATATCTTAATTATTTATAAATATAACAAATAATTTTTATTTTACGAAGACTACTTCTATCATAAAATTATTTGTTGTTTTTTTAAATCTAATTAAGGTAATTAATAATATATTAAAATAATTAATAGAAATACATATATAAAAACAAAAATCATATTAAAAAATTAAAGTGATTTTTTATTTATAACAAAAAATTATATGAATATAAATATAAATATAAATATATATATATATATATTTATATAAAATATAATTAAATTTATACATATATTTTATTATATTTATCTATTATTTTCATTATATTTTTTATGTTAGTTTTTTTTTTTTTTTTCTTATTTTTTTCATTATTTTTTCTATATTTTTTTTCTTATTTTTTTCACTTTTATTTTTTTTTTTCTTTATTTTTTATTCTTCTTTTTTTTTTTTACTAACTACGATTACTATTTATTTTTTATAGCTATCATGGATTTTTTTATTTTCAATTTTCTTTAGTAAGCCATAGTCCACTATTTTTTTTTTCAAATTGCCTTAACTCTAAATACTCGAATTTTGTGAATTTTATGATTGAAATATTTAAATTATAAAATCTATCAATCTTGGAATATAGATAATATTATGTTTAATATATGATATTTATTTTTATATATTTTTTCCATTCAATTAATAAAAAAGGCCACTAATAATTTTTTTTAGCCTTTTTTTTATTGAGTAATAAAATAAAATTATAGTAAATTAAAAATAAAAATACAATAAATAAAATAATATATATTTTAATAAAATTAGAAAAAGATATATAATTAAATATAAGATTTATAAATAAAAATTTTATTTAATATTATTTTTGTTAATTATATCCTTTTTTTTTTTAATTAATTATATTATTAACGTAATATTAAATTTTGTATTTACTATTAAGGGGAATTTTTTTATTTTATATCTTATAAATATATTTAAATTATAATTAGACTTGAATTTTAATATTTTAATTCTGCATTTATTACTTTCCCGTTCTATATTTTTCCAATTTTCCTTCATGAAAATTCGCATTATAACAAATAATCATATTATTTTAATTTTTACAAATATTTGTATAATAATAATTTATTTGAAAATTTATTGTTTTTTAATTATTAATATTATTAAAATATAAATCGACAAAGAAACTAATATATTCAATAAATTTTAATAAATAATATTATAATTAATATATTATTAATATCTAAAAATTATTAATAGGGATACAATTATTTTTTTAATGATTTACTTATTATTATTAATATTAATAACAAATATTTATGTATCTTCATATTTATAAAAGTAAAAATATTTCATTTACTTATAATACTCTGCATACTATTTATCGTTTCCATATTTTTATCATTTTTAGAAATTCTTTAATGAATTTCTTTAAGTACCACATTTAAATCAGTCTTTAAAATAACCAATATTTAAAACAATATATTAATTCCAATACCCGAAACTAATCCCCACCAAATACCATTTAAGTCATAACCGAAGTTAAAAGCTAAAAAATAAGATATACTTATTCCAATAATACCATTAGAACAAATGAAAATTATACTACATAAAAACTCTTTTCCAATAGCTCTTAAATAACCAGAAAAAACATTTTTAATTCCATCAATACTATTTTAGAATAAAAAAATATAATAAGTATTAGTAAATGCTTCATTAACATCTGGATAATTAGTTAGCATTGAAGCAAATTATTTTCTTAAAAATCCCAAAAGAAGCCATATAGTTGCTATGTGGCCAAAAATAATATACATACCATAAATTCCATATTATTTAGCTGATTTTATGTTTTTTTTGTCCCATTTCGTTCCCTACATATGTACTACTACCAATAGAATAACCTAAGGCAAAACAAAAAAAACTAGTGTTAAAGTTCGATAAAGATAAATGAGCTGCATATTATGATTATTTTAAATTTGATGCTATTCCTGATTATACTTCATATATTACCCAATCTGCAGAAACAATTGCTCCTATAGGAATTACTGTTTTTAAAAAATCCCAGTTATTTAAAAATGCTTATCTAGAAAATGAAGTTTAGCATCTTTACAGAGAAGGTTTTCTCTTAATAAAAATAAATAAAAGAATCAAATTTTAGAATCTACTTAAATTAAATGTAATGGCAGCTCCATATACCCCCAAGTCAAGAACACCAATAAATATATAAGAATATAAAAAAATAAAAGGATAATTCATCGCACTTATATAAAATTAAGATCTATATTCATTTTATGCATTTAAGTATCCTTTTTAAATTATTTTTAAATAAAATAATAAAAATAATTAATTACCTTTAAAAATAAAATATGTAGCAAGAAATATAATGCCAGGAATTTATGTAATGCAATATTATCGAGAATATTCGCATAACATTTCATTTTTATTCCATATATGCAAAATATATTTTGAAAATATCATACAAAAGCATATTGGAATAAACATAATAAAGGCGATAAAAAAACACTTATTTAATAATAAACCCACAAGTTAATATTTTTTAGCTCCATACGCATGAGAAGCTAATATTTCAAAACCTGTTGATAATCCAAAATAAAGACTTAATCCAAGGCAATTTGTATAAACTACACCCAAGCCAAAACCTGCAATTGCATCTAGATTTTTCACATATTAATTAATAAATATTAATATAATTAGACCTTAAGAATTTTCAAATAAAAAACTAAACCCTAATTGAAATGAAGAAATTAAAAGATTTTTCATACTAGCACTTTGTTAATTATCATCATCTACTAATTATGTAAGCTTTATTTATGATTAAATATTATTATCTTAATCTTAAATTTTATTGTTATAAAGGCGTATCAATTTTATCATCTAAATTTACAATACTTTATTAATTA